TGAAGATTTTCTTGTTGTAACCGCTGGGAAGTACCATGAGCCTGCTGTTTCTCTTGTTCTTTGTTATAGAGCTTTTCAAGCCTTTTTATTCGATCCTCATAGATTACTTTATCCTCTTCTCTTGACAACTTTTGGCGTTCGATCTCATCTAACACACGTTTCGATTCTTCAGGACTCATTCCCATCTCGGCGTCTTCTGATGCTTGATTCCAAAAATTTTGCATAAAATTCTTGAACTGATTATTATCCATTCAGATTCACCCGACATTGAATCTTCAGCACCAAAAACGACTTCACAAAACGCGACCACGCCTGAATTCTAACCTTAAAGTCACCAATTGTTTTTGTGCTCACTTCTGAATTGTGGTGAACTTTATTAATCACATATATCACTCCTGAATTTTTATATCACTTTATTGAATTTTGAATTAAATTTTAACGATCAGAAAACAAAAATAATTGCTCAGCAAAGCTGACTAAATTTCACACATCTTCTTGTTCTTACGACGTCTCAAGACTCTGTCAATGACGTATTGCATCGGCTGCCTTTGGAAAATTAGCACCTTCGTCTTCCGCCAGTAGCTTCAAGCAACGCGTTGCTAAGGAAGGTGCTAACGCAATTCCGTAGGCTATGGTGTTCAGCCGATAGATCCTCAACGGTTAATGCTCGTCGAATCTCTAAAGGATCTTCTGATAAATTCGATCTTCCTACCACACCTAGAACTGACGCAACATTTTTTCAATGTCCACACTCATTACAAAGATGTGATTCCAAAATCGTAAAATCAATTCAAAGTCTCCATCTTGAATTATAGTTTAGTAGTTAAGCTTGATTCCTTAAAAACAGCATGGTGTGGGATGCAATATCCACCTGTGTTCAAACCAGAAATTATCTCCATACGTCCTAACTCCTCAAATTTCTTCATAAACAGTTGATAACGATCGCGTGATTTCAAATCCCGTTTCAACCTTCTTTCTAAAAAAATCGATGTCGTGCTGTTTCGAATGTTAAGCCCAGATTTTTTTGTTTATAAATAAAGGAAAGCGCTACCATATAACTATCCTCATTGTCTCGCTGAATATGCTCCTGAAAATGAGTTTCGCATTTACTTTCCTCCTGTGACAGGTGCTTCTTATGCTCAACTTTTACGAACTCCCAAAACCTTTCCAATTGATCTTTAATTGGATCTTTGATCAGATTGCAGGATAATCGCTGATTAGATCCAATGCAGTTACCTTTCCCAGGAACAATCGACCCCAGTCGAGTATTTTGAAGATAGGTCCTGGGCTTTGAAAGTGGAATCTTTCCATCGCAAAGTAAAAGAATTGGTTTCTCAAACCTTTTACAATAAAGAAAATTCAAGATCTTTAATACATACAAAAAAGTTTAAATTGGTTGCCAAAACATTATAATCCTACAGAAAATCTTTTTGAACATTTAGTAATTCGCTTAGGTGTTTCTGTCCATTGGCCCTCCGTAGATTGGCTGAAGTTTTGTTGATTGTCTTGTACAAACTGGGGTTTTCTTATAACAAACACGATATCTCCTAATTTATACTTTACATTATTTCGCCGATGTGCACCAAATCGCTATTATATATTTCTTGTTCTTTTTGATATTTTCTCTAATTTCCCGCTGAGTTTCTTGGGGTAATTCATACGTTGCACAATTTTCATTGATTGTTCGCGCAATTCCCTCCTGAAATCTAAGGAGATAACCATACAACGATTCGTATGGTTCTTAAACTGACGATTTGCTTACAGTCGCACTATTTACTTTAAGTTGATATACCAATTGTCATAAGTTTCGTTTGTTCGACTTCTCATCGCTTGCAAGAGAGTTTCTTTAAACCTTTCTACTAACTTATTTTAGGCATTTCATATAAGAATACGGGGTTATGTCTCGGATTTTTCTTAAAATTCGGTAAATTGTATTGATAATGGTGCTAAATAAGTGTACAAATTTTGAATTTGAAATTTTATATATTTTTCAAGATATTTACAATAACAAATTAGAGCAATATTTTTTTGCTTTACTTATAACTTTTTCCATATTAAAAATAGAGAAAAATGTTATGAAAGTTTTTTACGCAAAAGACCTTAAACTTTTAGAAAAAAATTATTTAAAAAAAATATTAATTTTTAAACAATTTGTTTAAAAAATAAAATTTCTTTATAACTTTTAAACATGTTCTCCGTCATTTAGAAGCGCGAAAAAAATCATGAATATTGTTTAAGTCATAATAAATCGATGGTTAAATTTTAAAGATGGCATTATTTTTTGTTTTGGAGATATTAATTAATTAACTAACAAAAGTTAATAAAAAATGAAATATTTTACGAACAAATAAAATTAGAGTAATTTTAAAAACACCATTAGAATGCTTATCAAAATCTGCATCCAGCGAGCCCTATATGAATTATTTTGGATAAACGGGTGTTAAATTAATAATAAAAATTATTCAAAAAATTAATAACATTTGAAGAAATGAAAATAAATCGTCAATTCTTTTTTTATTTGGAAGATAATCTAATTCTGTGTTAAATAAAACCAGTGCAAATAGCATTTTTAACAAATCTAAATTATTATTATCCAACCTATAACACAAGTTGGAGGGGGCTGCCTACCTACTCGGCATGTTATTTTTCAGCCTTTTTCTAAATAACATTTTATGATTAATTTCTGATTCTTATAATTCTAACTCAATAATCTTTTTTCGACCCAGAATTAGATGATCTTTTAAACAAAAAAAGAATTGATGGTTTATCTTCATTTCCTCAAATGTTATTAATTATTTAAATAATTTTTATTATTAATTATTAATTGAACACCCGTTTATTAACGAGTAAAAAAAGGCTTTTGTCCCATGGCGCACACGATATTTTTTAACACAAAGGAATTAATTTTGCTGTTTTTTTATGTCAGGAAGAAGGGTCAAAAAAATATTAAAGATGTGTGGAATTGTTATGAATGTACGCGAGTTTGTCATAGAACAACTATTAAGTTGAATTGATAGTTGGGTTGCGCGGAGGAGGTTCAAGGGGGTTTAGCCCCCCTGACGGGGACAAGGGGCGTGGTTCCGGTGGGGGATTCGACTACAAAAAACCAACTCAAAAGATTAAATTTATATAATAACATTTTATAATTATAATTATATTATATAATTATTATATAATTTATATAATAACTCCGGAATTAATTTAGGAATAGCAATTCAGGAGGAGTACACGAAACTTCGTTGTCACTTTCGTCGCTACTCATTTTAAACTTTTAATAAATATACTAGCAACTTTGTCGTCCGCAAGCGGCCGACTACGTTGCTAGTGTGCATTAACCATATTTTTTATTCATTTTTTTCAAAAAAATTTAATATTAGAAATGTAAAAAAAAATTCTTTATATTGGATCTACCACCCAAGTAGCACGGTATATTGCTTGAATGTCAAGCTGATATCAACCGGGAATATTTTTGTGACATTTAGGCGATATCATAATGTCCTCTTCACGGGGACATTCCTCCGTGATGTATCTATGGGACGGTCTTTCACACAAAAAAATGTAACGCGTTACAAAACTTACATTCTACATTTATTAAACCTAAATAATTCTGTGGAACTTTACTTTCATCTAAATCTTCAAAAGACATTATTGCAACTCCTGCACTTTTTTTATTCCAATTATCGTTTTTACATGTCAAATTCTTTTCTTCACACATTCCTTTCATCTTTCTTCTTCTTACATGACAAATTATTTTCTTGATGCACTTTCTTTTCATCTTGAGTTTCCATTGATATTTTTCTTTTCCTACATGCCAAATTTTTATCCTTGTGTATTTTCTTTCCATCTTCAATTTTTATAGATAATTTCTTTTTTTGCATGTCAAATTTTTTTTGCGCTCTTTCTATTTTATTTCTGATTTATTACGATTACGTTTTCTCAATCTCTCATTCTCCTGTCTTATTATTTTCTGCTCATATGAAACTTCGCGCCTTGCCTTCCTTTTTCTTCCCTTCTCTTTAATTGCTCGATTTATCTTTTTATCATTTTCTTTACTCAGAAAATTTTTCATTTTTAAATATTCATGTGGTGAAATTTTGTTCACCTTATTATCAGTTGTACGAATTATTTTCTTTTCATAACTCAGTCATAAAAAGGGCGCTTGTTGGTACGCTGGTGATAAGTTGAAAACTACCTTTTCTTGAACAGAGTGTCATTTGTCGCCTTATTTGCACGGAGTATAAACAAGATAGCTGAGAGTGCGAATAAGAAGGCTGAGAGTGCGAACAAGAAAATATTGTAACGCTATCGAATGCGAATCGATATATCGAATCACTATCTGAACGAGATCGAGGATAAATGTTTTTATAATGTATAGTAGCACGAAGGGTTTTAGAGCCCTGTACGCATGCGTTAATTCCTTTTAATTTCAGCTGTTTTAATGTGGTTGTTATTTTCCGCTTGTGATCAACACATTATCTTTAAAAATCTAAATTGTAATAAAAACGACAACTTATTTAGTTGAATGTTAATTTTTAACAAAAAATTTTGCGCTGGCTTGAAAGGTAAGTGCTGTATTAAAATCTCAATATACGTGAATATACAAGCAATGCATAAACATAACCTAAAATTTATTGTTACAATTCTATCACATCTAATGCTATTTTATCACTAATTTTTAATTAAAAACAATATTTATTTTTAATTTAAATTCTTACAACTTGCATGATCAAGGTTGCCAAAAAGATCAATTTGTTAATTTCCCTGATTTCTCCACAACATTAAACAAGTTTCACGGACTAAATATTTTTCCGTGACATTTCCCTGACAAAAATTTTTCTTTTCTGATTTCCTTGACACGTACTACATTTTCATTGTAATTTTAGAAAATAAAGTACAATAATTATTAAAAATTAATAATTTGAGGTTATATTGCAAAATATTTAAGAAATAATAATTTCCGATATGTAGAGACTTTACCAAAATAAACTTTTTTGTAGACAATGTCGAATCATGAGCTTAGTGACGAGAACTGCACGCCGCCAGAAATGCGCGAAGCAGCTCGAGAAATATCAATAGATTTATTACCCGAGAAGTCCAGAGAAGCGTATGAAGAAACATACACAAAATTTGTCGATTGGAAAAAAGCGAATAAAGCCATAACCTCTGAAAACTGCTTAAAAGTGTACTTTAAGATGCTTATGAAGAGTTACAAACCGACTACGATGTGGTCCATTCACTCCAAACTAAAAAATACAATTAAAGTTCATGAAAATGTTTCGATCGAAACCTACAAGGAATTAACAGCACTGCTTAGCAATTATTCCAAAGGATATAAAAGCACAAAGGCCAAAATTTTCACGACTGAAGAAATCAAGACGTTTTTAAATACTGCTCCCGATGAAACTTATTTGGCACATAAGGTAAGTTACACAAAACTGTAAATAATAATTGCAAATACAAGCATCGAGTTTAACAACTTAAAGAAAATTGTTTAAATTATATATTTAAAAATTTATTTTACTTAAACTAAAAAAATTTATGTAAATAAAAACTTGTACAGTGGAACCTCGTTTAACCGAACTAAATCGCGCAGAACCTGATTCGGATAAACGAAAATTCGGATAATGGAAATTTTAAGTGTTTTTAAATAGTTAAGACAAAATTCTTACAACATTTTTGAACAAAATACAACTTTTTTAATATAAAATATAGTTCTTCCAAAATGCAATTATTTAAAAAAATTTTAACTAAAATTCCTCGCCAAATTATTTATTTTCAATAATTTTAATAAAGTTTTTGGAAAATTCAATTATTTAAAACATTTTCCAGTTACAAATTCTATGAAATTCAATTACTATTTAAAATTTGTAAATAATATTCATAAATTTAAATTTACAAAAATTTCAATTTAAAATCTCCTAAAAATCAATTATTCCTGAAAACCTTAACTGCAACTCTTTCAAAATTCAATTATTTCTGATATTTGTATCTAAAATTTTCTTCTAAATTAATTATTTTTAATAACTTTAATTAAGTTCTTCGAAATTTTTAAAAATTTAAATCAAATTCTGTAGTAGTATATATATTAAATAATTAAGTTTATTAAAAATACAAAAATCGACTTTCTCGACTTTTCTTATAATATAAATCGACTAAAACTAATTTTTTTGTTCTTTAAAGTCGATCCAAGCTTGAATAATTAAATAAAAAACTTGAATTTTTTTTTAACATTTGAAATCTTAATATTGAATTTTTTAAGTATTTGGTAATATTTGTAATAAATTAAATTTATTAAGAATAAAAAATTGATTTTTTCGACTTTTCATGCAATATAAATTGACTAAAACAACTTTTAATTATACATAAATATTGATTTGTAAGTTAAAAAAATATAATATTTAGAACTTTTCAATTTTATTTTTTTAGCATAAACTTGGTTTTATTTTTGCGAAAATATTAATGATTAAATAATTATAAAAATGGAATTTTTTAGTTTTGAGAAGCCGTAAAAAGTTCGGATAATAGAAGTTCGGATAAAATGATTTATAGTTCGGATAATAGAGGGTTCGGATGACAGAGGTTCGGATAATCGAGGTTGCACTGTAATTCCTTTTTATAATAATAAAAACAATATATACAAAAAAATAAAACATTCTGCAATTTAAAAGCAAAAAAATATATAGATTCAATTTTATAATGATTTTCAGGTTGTCGTTATTTTTGGTTTGAGTGGATGTTGTCGCAAGGGCGAAATTTACGCTGTCAAAGCTAGTCACATTACAAAGCAAGGAGCCCTTTTTGCAGTTGAGATACCTGATACAAAGAATAATGTGCCTCGAAAATTTATTATTGACTCAGTTTACGCCCCGACTGTTCAAAAGTATCTAGATCTTCGTCCTGCAAAAGTGCAACGAGAAAACTTTTTCTTGCAGTATCATAACGGTAAATGCACAAATCAAGTGATTGGCATTAATACCGTAGGCAGTATGCCGAGAAAAGTTGCCGAATTCCTCGGACTAAAAGATCCTCAAGAATACAAAGGACATTCATTACGAAGGACGTCCGCTACCGTTTTGGCCGACACTGGAGCTACTACTTTAGATTTACAACGTTTCGGAGGATGGAAATCCGCAACAGTAGCTCAAAGCTACGTCGACGATTCAACGGCGTATAAGGTAGCGAACGCGGCAAAAATTTCCAAGGCCATCTCAGGATCCAAAAAGGAAAACTTGGAATCTAAATCGGAGAATGTTCCCTCCAAAAAACCGAAAATTGACGATTCTCAATCGAATGATCTCAAAGAATCTTCAGAGAAAACTTTTGTATTAAATAATTGTAGCGTTACTATACATTACAATAAGTAAGTGATGTGTAATTTGTGTACTGTTCTTTATGCACTTGCAATATTAATATTTTATAACTAAGTATCTATAACAAGAATATTCAAAAAAGATTATATAAATATATATATTTGTAACTAGTTTCCAAAGTTAAAAAGATATAATAAAAATAAAATTTTTAAAAATAAATCTACTTTTTTATTCTTTTCTGATTACTTGTTATTATAATTATGATTAGGAATTCTAATAAAGTTATAATTAATGTCTCTCTTTTATTTATTAATTTTATTTTTTCTATTTTATTCCTATTTCTTTCGCTTTATTTATTTGTTTTTTAATTATTTTACTTATAAATAAAAATTATTAATATTATTATTTATAAACTCTCAGAATTTATTTATTTGAACGAACTGTTTTTATAATTAATTTTTTTATTCTTAAAATCAATTTATAATAAAATTTTTAATTTTTTAAATGTAATTTATTTCTTAATTTTAATTGCATTTTAATGAAATTAATTTTTTTAAATTAATTAAATATAATTAAATTCTTAATTTTAAAATTAATTATTCTGATTTCAATTTTGTTTAATTAAATAATTTTTAATTGTTTGAATTTAATTTTTTTTTCTGGGATCTATTGAAAAATAACTCGCCCACAAGCGCCGCCCTCGCCTACGACTCATTCCAAAAAAATTGCGCTCGTTTCAAAAACGCCTACTGTTCATACTTATTACGAAATGTACTATTTCACCAGTGTCATTTAGAGAATGTTTAATTTTTAAATCTTGTGTTAATAGAACTCTGTTAATATTATTACTGGGAATATAATTACTAAAAATATAATTTTTATGTTCCTGTGTTCAATTTATGAAAAGATGGTTCTAATCATTCTCTATTATCGAATTCCTATTGTGAGACGTTCTTACTGTCGGAAAATGATTTAAGCGATTATTTTCAAACATTGACTTAAAATTGTTTCTCATTTTGTTATTATCAGTTTCATAATTTACACGGTTTGGCATTACGTTAAATAATATAGATGTTGCAAATGCTATTGCATATACTCCACACTCAGCACTACCAAAAGGTTGTTGATCAACAGCTTCAAAAACTATAAAGTATTTGAATATGATTATCACCGTCTCTAATTGGGACAATAAAATCAAGCATTTGTACATACAAAAGAATCTTTTCTTAATAAATCTTCAAATTTGTACATATGCATGTAATTTAACAATTTATTTCTATTTTCAATAATTTTTAAATCTTTATCACTTAAAATAATATACTTTTTTATGTTGGCCATAGTATACTTCGTTTAATTTTATTTTTTATTCATGAAAATCTAAATATCTTTAACCCTTTTGCTCACTCCCTGTAATATAACCAATTTTGCCTTTTATTAAATATAACCAATTTTGTCTTTAATTCAATACAACCAATTTTACCTTTTATTAAATATAACCAATTTTTCCTTTAATTCAATACAACTAATTTTACCTTTTACTAAATATAACCAATTTTTCCTTTAATTCTATATAACCAATTTTTACTTTAATCCAATATAACCAATTTTGCCTTTTATCCAATAAAACTACCATATATCCAAATGAATGAGAGAACTATGTGTAACTATGAATCAGTAACTACTGATCAGCCAATAAGTGCAAAAAGGACACTCTTATATGAGTAATCAGTAGTTCATTATAAATAACATATATACGTATTCATAACTGTATTAAAACCCCGGAAAAAATACCATAAAAAAACCAGCCATTGGACAATAGAACCTTTGTTAATGAGGATTAACTCTAGAGGACCCAGCTAATAATTTCTTTTTTCACATTTATTATATAGAAAAATAAAGATGTACCAACCCTTGGCCAATAGAACCTTTGTTAATGAAGATTAACTCTGAGTACATAATGAAATGTACTATAGGTTTACATTGACATCGGCACGTCTGACGTCTCGAAATTTTTTCCGTGTATTATCACATGGAAATATAAAGATAAAAGGCAAAAACTGAAGAGGTAATGTATATCTTTCTTTCTCACATCAAGGAATATAACATATAAACATTTTCATTTAATATTGCATTTCTCTATCTAGAGGATTCAAAATAACATAAGAATATCTTCGCCTAAAAATCTTACTCTTCTTTTTTTCTGTTTTCAAAATAAAAAAAAATATGTATATATACCAGTATTAGACCCTCAGAACAATTACCACAAACATTACCAATCCTTGGACAATAGAGCCTTTGTTAATGAAGATTAATTCTGAGGGGCCAGGTAATAATTTTTAAATTTTTTTATTAAAATTTTCTGGGGCTCTAATACAGGTAGGGAAGAGTGATAAACAGTGGCACAGTTTAAACAGTAGAACACTTTAATTTTCTGAAAAACTACTTAAAGAAACTCGACCAAAATTTAAATGTAAAGCATGTTTATGACAACACACTATCTCCAAAAATTTTAGCCACATTGATTCATTATTTACAAAGAAAATTGAAAAAAACTGTTTTTGACGTTACGGAGTAAATTTTTTCTTGAAATACAATGCTGATTTTTATATAAATAGGACAGTTTTAAAAAAAGTGTAATTGTTACTTCGTTTACTGATGTTTTTAAGTATAATATCCAATAATTTAAAATATTTTAAAATGTTACAATCAATTTTTATTTAAATAATTTCTTGCGATTGCTTAATTTAAACAGTGTCAAAAAATATATAAAATTAACATATTAATATGTCTTTGAAAAAAAGTGTCCCACTGTTTGTCACTCTCCCCTATATACATATATACAGATATATGAATATTTATTTTTATTCTTAAAACAAAAAGGAAGAAGATTAAGATTTTAGACGAAGATGTTCTTATGCCATTTTCAATCGTCTAGATAGAGAAACGCAATGTTAAACGAAGAAGCACTTATGTTATATTCCTTGGTGTAAGAAAGAAAGGTATGCGTTACCTATTCAGTTTTAGAATTTCTTTATAGTTTTTTCACGTGATAAAGGGAGAAAGAAATTATTACCTGGGTCCTCAGAGTTATTAATTAATCCTCTTTAAAAGATTGCAGGTCAAGCGAACCCTCATTTGCAAAATAAAGATATATCTTTCTCTCTCCATAACTTGTTCATTTCTCTGTCACCGAAAACCCAGCAGGGGTCCGGACGGAATGAATGAATGAATGAATGAATGAATGAATACCAAGATTATTATAGTTAATTGATAAAGACTATCGAATATTGACAATACTTTTTCTGTCAACAAGACTACATAATCTTACAATTTTATTCACAGATGCACAACTTTTACTTTCGAGCAGCGCTGCATTTGCACTTTTGAAATCGAACTAATGTAAAAAATAAACGATAATTCCCTTCGGTCGGTAAAGAAGACACATATTTCTCTTTTTTTTCCTGTTCACTATAAAATTTACTCCCTAGGGAGTTTTTACTCCCGCTACTCCCAACCAATAGAAAAACAGCGATTTTTTCCCCGCCTTACAGACATAATAAAGAGCAAAATTCATGCCTGTGTGGTAAAAAATATGTTTTATTCCTTTCAAACATAACTCTTGGAAGCAATGATAAGTGAATCCCGTATCTCTGTCAGTTACTAGACGTTCTGGTGCTCCAAAGTGATCAATAAAATCTTTCACCATTTTCGACGTAGTATTTGCGCTTACATTTTTGACCGGGATAGCGTAGACACTTCGAACGGTCGTCGCCTCGGAGGAATGGGATGCAATTCTCCCTCTTTTCAACCACATTTACGTTTTTCTAAAATGCACTCAAAACAATTTTGTATATGCCGTTTGACGTATCCCCTCATTCGCGGAAAACAATAGAATTGCTTAATTCGACTTACAGTCTTATCGACTCCAAAATGACTTGCCATATCCTAATTACGAATCACAAGAGCTTTTCTCATTACTTGTGGTATCACATACAGCTGTTTTTCTCGTTGACCCTCAAGACACTTCTTATATACAAGCCCGTCTATTAGCGAAAATCCCAAAACCCGTCGCGTCCCTTTTCGTCCTTCATTCTATTTGATTAATTTTTCTTCAAAATGTGAATTTTTCTTTTATCATCGGATCACTACTTTGAAATACAAGAATTTCATCTTCGCGAGTATCTATAGCAAATACATCATCTTGTGAATCGTCTACGTTTACGGTTTCCACGGGAGCTCTTGGTAGAGCATCTACATGTCGCATATTTTCCTCTTTTCTGTACTTATTTTCAAAATTAAATTCAGCTATTTCGCTTAACTATCTCGCCACTTGAGAACTCTGAGTTTTCCAAGCATTAAAATTTACAAGACACTGACAGTCTGTTGGTATTATAAAAAGAATGGCAAATAAAAAGGATCCCAAACGTGTGAGAGTCCACTGGATTACCATAAGTTCCAATCTACTTGAATGGTATTTTTCTTCGACTTAAGATGTCCTTCTACTAATTGCGTATACTAATTGTAAATCCTCATTCTCGTTATCTGCCTGAAACATCATCGCACCTAAACCGACTGACGACGCGACAGTATGAAGTTCTGTTCTCGCGCCTTTCAGATTATAGATTTTTAATACCGGTTTGCACGCTAGTTTTTGCTTGATTACATTAAATATTTGATCTTGTCGATTTGACCATTCAAATTTTCCTCTGAACAAATTTGTTATCTGATGAATAATATTTGCGAACCCTGGTATGAATCGTCGAAAAAAACTTGTTAAACCTATAAACCGCCTCACTTCGTGTATATTCGTTGGTCGTGGAAATTCTGTGATAGCGGAAATTTTTTTTTCCTCGGGTTTTATTTCACCGTTCCCTAAAGTATAACCCTAATACTCTACGCTTAACTTTCTAAATTGACATTTTTGCAAGTTAATTGTGAGGCCCGGTTCTCGAAGTAAACTCAGTACCACGGCTAAACATTCCATCAGTTCGACACAATTTCTTGCGTAAATGCAAGTGTCGTCGAATAATAAAAAAGCGATTTTCTTTTTACGCGCAATACCCAAGACTCTATCCATCATTTTAGC